CTGCTGGACCGCAAAGCAAAGATCCTCAAACTATGCAGATGAACAAGACTTGGGGCCTGGGGAATTGCAGAGGGGCTGCAATGAGGGCCTGCTGCCTGCCCCTTACCCAAGTGGGTCCCTCTCTTCCCCTCCCAAGCAGCGGACAGCTAGGACTGCAGCTCGAGAGATGGAGAAAGAAAGCTTTACTCCACCAGCCCATTAGCAGCACACACAGCATTAAAAATGCAGGAGGTAGATGGGAGGAGAGGGCTGGGGATGAAGACGAACGCAGCAGCTGGCGCTGGGAACGGCCAGGCTTCTCTCCTCCGAGCCCAGACCCAGAGTGGGGGCCCTAGAATGAGGAATTTTGGAGTTAAAAGAATTCTATAGTGTAAATGCAAAGAGAGCATCCAGATGGTTGTTATGGAGAAAATCAGCACTTTGGGCTTCTTTAGCCTCAGGAAACTGTGTTTACTCTTTAGAGGGCCGGGGTCCCGCGTGTTATCCACACTGTCTAGAAAAGTGTCTGGCTCAGCAGCGCTTGTTCAGTATTCAATGGAGGTTGGGCATGGGCAGGAAAGGACCTCTTTTTGCACTCAGGGTCTCTCGGGTGCCCCGCCCCGCAGGTCCCCGGGCTTCCCGCGCAAGGCGATGCCAGCCTCGTCCACCATCCACGTGCTGCAGCTGCTGCGGGAGCTGCTGGCCTTCGTGCTCCTTAGCTACACGGTGCTCATCGGGGCGTTGCTGCTGGCTGGCTGGACCACTTACTTCCTGGTGCTGAAGTGACAGCGCCCCGGCCCGGCTCCCCGCCCCTCCCATCCTCCTCACGCCAGGGCCTGGGCCGCTTCTCGAGGCGCGGCCCCGACCCGGGCCCCAGTCCAACCACCGGTCACGACGGCCGACTTTGCTGCGCCCACTCCACCCCCTCGGACCCAGGGCCGGCCGTGCCCCGCGCGGACGCCCCGGCGGTTGGACACCGGGCGCGGCCGTTAGAGCCGTTACTCTAAGCCCCGCCCCCTCCTTCCCCAACTGTCCAATCCTGGCTGCTCCCTCGGCCAGGGGCGTGGTCATGGAGCCAGGCCCTCTTCGGCGGAGGCTGCACCCCCCCTCCGGCTTACGAAGTGACGTCACTTCCGGTGTGTACGCGAGGCGTCCTCCCGCCCCGGGATGGCGTCTCTGAGGAGTTGGCTGTCGCGGGGCGTAGCGTCCTTGTTCAGGTAGGGCTGCGGCCGTGTAGGAGGGCTGGGCGGGAGGCGGGGAGGCCACGCAGAGAGTGCGGTAGCCGGGACCGCGGCGCTGGCCTTGCTGGCGCGCGCTTCCTTCCTCTGTCGTGCGGGCCGCGGCGTCCCTCTCCTCTCCGAAGTCTGAGGACGTCCCGCCTCTGCCCGGGCCAGAGGTCCCCGCCCCCTCGGCCGGGCCCGGGATTCACGGCTTTTCTCTTATTCCAGAAATAACAGCGACTTCCCCCAAACTCCGGCTGTCTCCTTGAGTCGACGAGCTCCCGCTGGCTCGTCGGAGTCCTTAGGGGCGAGTTGGGGGAGAGGCCCGGGCAGGCGGCGGATCGGTAGAGGAGGTTTCCCCTGAGGGCAGGAGGGGCCCCAAGAGCTAGTCCGTCTCCTAGCGGCTTCTGCGGGCTGCAGATGGCGGGCGGGGACTATCAGAGAACCTTGCCTGAGTCCAGAGCTAAATCCTGCCTGCAGAAGCGTTTTTTTTTTTTGGCATCAGGCTTTTTAAAGCTTTGAGACCGTCCCTTAAACGTCCATGCCTGGTACCTGTTAAACTCCGAAACCTCGCGGCCAGCATTCCCGCGCGGCAGCGGTTCGCGGGAGCTCGGTAGCGGTTGTCTCTTTAGCGAGCCCAAGGTTTTGCGGTCCACCACGCTCCCCACGGAGCCCTTTCCTCTGGAAGGCCAGTCCTAGGTTCCTGCGTAGCCCCGGTTTGAGTTTCCAACCCCTGCAAATAAGTCGAAGAGACTTTTACAGATTGGTGGTTGTGCCTTATTAAATTCAACCTCTACATCTAGGTACAGACAGTGTGTACCTGTGGCGGCTAACTTCAAGAAGCGCCGTTTCTCAGAACTGATACGACCATGGCACAAAACGGTGGCAGTTGGATTTGGCGTAACCCTGTGTGCGATTCCTATTGCACAGGTAAAGTACTGTCGTGTCACTCGGTGTTTATTAGGTCTTCTGTAGTATACCCTCTTTGAGTCTCAAGTGGGCAATGAATCATCAAGCTCTCATAGTTTTACCCAATGCTTCCCTCGCTACCTCCACCCATGATGGTATATTTTCTACTGTACTAGCATCTTTTCAGGACTGAACAAACATTAATCTCATCTTTATTGCCTCTTTTGGTAGAAACAGTGCGTCAAGTTGGTCAAATTGTATAATGAGGGAAGAGAGAAGAGTATATCAACAATTTGTTGACTTTTTTAATTAAGCTTTTTAGGGTAACATTGGTTATTGACATTTTTTGTGTACTATATACCGAGAATATTAGAGCAAAACCAAGTTCCACTCTCAGGGAGAAAATCGACAAATATAAAATACCAGGTGATGATAAGTTATGGAGACAACAGGGTAAGTGAATAGGAAGTGCCGGGATGGAGCTGTTTTGTTTTAGATAGGGTGGTCAAGGAGGGCCACGCTGATAAAGTGATATTTAAGTAGAGGTTAGAATGACCTGAGAGAGTGAGGCATGGTAATATTTTTGGGAAGAGCTTGCCAGGCAGAAGGAACTTTCAAGTGCAAAGGCCTGGAAGCAGCGGTATGCATGATGTGTGCGATAAACAGCAGGGAGGTTAACGTTGCTGGAGTGGGATTAGGAACAGAGAGCGTAATAGATGAGGCCAGAGAGTAGCCGAGGATCAGATTGTGTGTTCTGTACTTTGTGAGTCATTGTAAAACTTTGGATTCGATCCTGAAAAGGAAGCCATAGAGGATTTTAACATAAGATTATTATGATCTGACATAACTTTTTTTCTTTCAAAAAATATGGACTTTTAATGAATGGCAATACAATATTCATTGTTTGTATTTGAGACTTTTGTGTCAGGCTAGAAGAAATACATGTATTATAGAGAGTTCTTTAGCAACCTGATTGGAAAATGACATCCACATACTTCTGTTTCTTCAGTTATGCAAAGAAGTATATTTGTTTAATTGACTGGATCCTATTCCTGAAGATTTAAAAATGTAAAGTAGGAACATTTTAAAGAAATCTAAAAAATTCAATAAATGAAAAAATATTTCCATACTCGTTCTCTTAAATATGATAAAATCAAATTTTAAGCCTTATCAAATAATAACTTGTGGATTCTGCATAAACAATGTCAATTTCAATAATAGAGGTAATTTCGTTAAACCGATTTTGAAAATAGAGGTTTCTCACTGGCTGTGTGCCCCTCGGCATTTATTTTTTATTTCCATCCTCCCTACCGACTCCTGTTTGGCAACCATCAGCTTGTTCTCAAGGTCTGGGTCTGTTTTTGTTTTGTTTATTCATTTATTTTGCTTTTTTAGACACCACATATAAGTGAGATCATATAGTATTTGATTTATATATCTTTTTCTGTCAGTACCATACTATTTTGATTATTGTAGCTTTATAGTATAGTTTGATACCAGTGAGTGTGATGCCTACATATTTTGTTAAGATTTGTCTATTTGGGGTCTTTTGTGGTTCCATATAAATTTTAGGATTAGTTGTTCTAAGAAGAATGCCATCGGTACTTTAATAGGGATTACATTGAATCTGTATACTACTTAAGGTAGTAAGGACATTTTGACAATATTAACCCTACCAAACCATGAGCACAGTATATCCTTCCATTTATTTGTATCTTGTTTGGTTTCTTCAATGTCTTATAGTTTTCAGAGTATAGGTCTTTCATCTCTTTGGTTAAATTTATTCTTAGGTATCTTATACTTTTTGATGCAATTGTAAATGGGTCTATTTTCTTAATTTCTTCTTCTGATCATTTTTGGTGTATAGAAACGCAACGGATTTCTCTGTATTGATTCTGCATCCTGCTACTTTACTGAAGTCATTAATTCTGTTAGTTTTTTTTGTAGAGTCTTTAGGATTTTCTACATATAGTATTGTGTCATCTGCCAACATAACTTTTTAAAGGTTTGCTCTGTGGAACTAGGAAGACCAACAGGAATCCAGGCGCGAGAAGACAATGAGCTTGGACTAGGTGGGCAGCAGTGGAGGGGAGGAGAAGTGGGCCAAATGTGGTCAGCAGGAGTCGCCGATACATTTGATATGGAGTATATAACCTCCATTCCAGTGCTTTAAAAAGGCCTAAGCAACTGAAAGAATGGAGTTGCCATTTACTGGGATGGAGAGGAGTAGGAAAAATTTGAAAGGAGGAAAACAAGAGTTCAGTTCTGGAAATGACAGGCCGAGGTGTTTAGTAGACATCTCTGTAGAACTGTCAAGTAGAGAGTTGATCTGAAGAGGTAATTTATTTATTTATTTTTATTTATTTTGGAGGGAATCCATTTTTAAAAACCACTGGTTATATGCTTTATTGGGAAGAACTAAACAGGAAACCAACACACCCCTTTTTGGTATATATTCCTGATACTTTATCACACCAACAAGATTAATTCCATTTATCACCAGTATTTTCAGCATCTGAGGGTCAGTCATGAGCGCTCGCTCGCCTTTTCACGTCTCGCTTCAACCCTCGTCTCTGCTCACTGATGAATCTTTAACCCTAAAGCCCTTGCTGGAACACCAGGCCCATTTTTAGGCACAATTAGGATGGTTTTCTTCCTCCAAAATATTTTTTGAGTTTGTCCTTTCTCAGTTCATATACTGTTCTTAAGCCCCATTTACCTCAGTTCTGGGCCACGTGACAGGAGCCTCTAGCGATTCTCCTGCAGCAACAGCAAGCAGTCCTGTTCTTCAGAACCTGCAGTGGCTCTCCATTCTGTGACAGAACGAAAATCCAAATAGCTGTCCCTGCACTCCAGTCCCTAGCTAGTCACATCTCCTCGTGCCACCCGCTCCACCCAGTCTAGATTCCCGAACATCCCCCGCACGCAACATCTGCGTTTCTTCTGACCCAGATGTCTGGCCGTTCTAATCCTAGTTGTCCTCAGACCCAAATCTCACCTCTCTTTAAAACTTGTCCTAGTCCCTGGCCAGCGAGCTCCCTTTCCAATCACATAGTGGCGTATATTTTGATATTTCCTGATAATCCATTTGGCACTGTCCTGCGTCAGTGCATATTAGAACCGTGGAGTGAGAAGATTTAGTTTGAGTTCTAGACGTGTGGCTTTTTGGTAAAGTTACACAACTACTAGGAGCTTCCGTTTCCTCATCGGTGAAAAAGAAGTGGTAACTACCTGGACCGTTGTGAGGAACTGCAAAACGTAGGGCCTTAGGAAGACGTAAGTTATCAGAACATGTCAAAATTAGCTTCTCATAATCAGAGCTAATGTTCTTTCCTTTCTAGCCCCTCAGTGCACAGTATATAATGAATAAATATTTGATTGAATGAAATATAAATATGGTAAATAAAATTCTTGATTTGCTCATGTATCAAAGGTATTTCTTGACAGCTGCTTTCAACAAGCAGTGACTCTGCATATTTATACTCTAAAGAGCAAAAACGACACTAGATGATAGAGGGATTGGTTTCTTTGTTAGTTCTGATACAGTAAATGCTTTGCCGAGGAAGAAAAAGGCAGAATCATAGTTATAGTGGGTTTTTTTTAATATAATAGCTGAGGTCAGAGTGTAGAGTTCCCACCACCATGAAGACCATATTTGCTGATTCTTCTCAGAATTGCCCTCCCCCATCCACCATTTACTTGCTAAGATTCAGCTTAATCCTCAACTCTATAAAGGCTTTTCTAAGCCGTTCTCATTCAGCACAGAAGTGATTGCTCCCTACGTGGGCTCGTGTTGTAGCCTATACAGGCATCGGCCACAGCTCTCGTGGTACTTGACTGCATTAACTTTTCACGGTCTCTGTAAGCCCCAGCCTCTCCCCCTCCCTGTCTGAAATCTTTGCGGGTGGAGAATATATCTTATCTTTACATTCCACGCATCTAATGGTAATGAATGAATCATGACTTCATGAAACTCGTTATAATTACTAGCCTTTTATATAAAGAGACTAAAGAATAAAAGTGGGTAAAAAGCATACTCTGGAATTATTTTCATTTTTGGTCTTAAATAGCCAAAATAAAGCCTATAAAGAAACAGCTGACACAAAGAAGCACAGCGCAGTTGCAGCATGAGAATTATGTGTTTCACTTGGCTGTCTGTGATGATGTTCTCAGCCCCAGCTTTAGAAGTTGAGTGAAAACATTTTTGTCTTTCAGAAATCAGAGCCTCATTCTCTTAGTAATGATGCATTAATGAAGAGGGCCGTGTCTCTGGTAACAGACAGCACCTCAACCTTTCTCTCTCAGACCACATATGCACTGGTTGAAGCAATCACTGAATATACGAAGGTAAGTGTCTTGTTAAGTCTTGGTCATCTAGACCAGTGGCTAGCAAGCTGTGGCTCACAGACTGAGTCCAGTCTGATGCCTGCTCGCTTGTTTATGTATTGCCTATGACTACTTTCATGAGCTTAATAATTGCAACAGAGACTATATGGGTTACAAAGCCTAAAATATTTATTCTTTATTTAAAAAGTTGGCTGAGTTCTTACCTAAATCACTCATTTTTAGACCTTTACCAGGAATGCTTTTTAAAAGAAGAATCTTAAATATAGCAGCCCAGTTTATCAGATAGGGGAACCAAGCTGATCCGGTTCAGTTAGGGGTGAAAGGGTCCAAAGTGTCCCAGCAGCGGCATGGTGGGGGCAAGGGGTGTGTGGCACCAGGGGCTTCTCTCTGAGGCAGTTCGAAGACCACTGATCTGAGCTAATAGAGTATGTGGATAATCAAAATCATTTAACAGTCTCCTCTGTTTATTTTACCTTTTTCAGCAGCTCGTTTCTCAGCCTTCTGAGTTCCCCTCTGCATTGTATTCCCTTTCTATGTCTGAATTTCACACACAAAAGTTGACGAATGGAGATACTGTCGTGGAATAATGTCCTGCATACAGTAGTGCAGCGTCAGTGACGCAGACGGCTGAAGAGCCGGTTTGCTGTGATAGGACTTTATCTCGTTGAGGTATAAGACTCACTAATCCTACCTGTTATGCCTCATTTATTTTACTCAGACTCGTGTATTCTGTATTTGTAGGCTGTCTATACCTTAATTTCTCTGTACCGGCAATATACAAGTTTACTTGGGAAAATGAATTCACAGGAGGAAGATGAAGTGTGGCAGGTGATCATAGGAGCCAGAGTTGAGGTAAGCAAAAGTTATTAGGCATTTCTGTGTTAGTGCTTCTGCCTCATTGTGATGTCTAGTGTTGATTAAGGTGTCCAACCAGTAACTTCTCTAAATCTACCATTTTGAATAATCCATTTAAATGTGCTTATTAACCTCTTCCTGTTGTCTGACGCACTTTGTTTCATTTACAGATGACTTCAAAACAGCAGGAGTACTTGAGATTGGAAACCACGTGGATGACTGCGGTTGGTCTCTCAGAGATGGCAGCAGAAGCTGCCTACCACACTGGTAGGTTCAGGTTTTCACTGGGGGGCGCCACTTGAGTTTCCACTGGCTGTGAAAGGAGGGATTTGGGTTAGGTGGTCTGCAGCCCAGTGTGGCTCTAACCTAGTGAGAAAAGATCCCCATTTATAATATATTAACCAGCATTTTGTTTGCACAATAGGAAAAATAATGCCCTTATTGGCCATTAGAAGCCAGGTTGTCAAAATCTAGAAAATGAAAAATAATAAAATGATAAAACTACAACCAATTGGAAAATGTGATTGCCACCAAATTTTAAGCATTTTATTTTCTTATAACCCAGATAATTTATGAGTAGCTGTATTTGTCTATTTCAGGAACTTTTATTTTAACCTTCCATAGTTCCCTTAAAGTAGGACCTATTATTAACATTCCTACTTTACAGGTGAAGAAACTGGGGGACAGAGGGTCTAAGTAATTCACCCAGGATGCTGTGGCACAAGAAGCAAGCAGCCAAACTGGGACTTAGTAGCCAGGTAGATCAGATTCTGAAGCCTTTGCTCCCAGTGGCCAGGCTCCACCGTCTGCGTCTCGGTGCTCCAGAGCCGCAGATGCGGTTACGCTGTCCCCATGGTGCTTGTTGAACATCATTATCCATCCAGTGGGCTTGGGCAAAAATGGTTTTTTAAGTAAATGTATTTTGAGGAAAACTAGTTTAACGTCTTAACCTGACTGATCCCAAACAAGGTAGCTCACAGAAATTATAGCCTAGGATCAGCTCTTACTAAGAAACTGGTATGTTAAAAACACTTTTGTTTTCTGATTTCAGGGTATTAGACTTGGGACTTAAGCACCAAAGCTTAAAAAGCATACAAGAGATGTTTTTTTAAGTAAAAACAAAAAAGAATTTTTAGTTAACTAAAACCTAAGCAACGGGAGATTCTAAAAAGAGGCCTGCCCTGGCGAATGGGACTGTCGTGGTGTGCAGGCAGCATTAACAGCCGCGGCACCGGAGGTGGGAGCAGGGCTTCCAGGTGCTGTGAGCAGGGAGGTGGCTTGAGGTGCTGCAGCAGGAACGTCCCCGGGTAACCGTCACCACTCCCCTAGGCGGGCTCAGATCTAGCAGCAGAAAAGAGGGAGCGTAAGTGTGAGCATTATCTGAAAAAATAAGACATTTCCCAGAACTGGTTGAAAGGGCTCACGAAGGGTCTGAACAGAATTTTTTTCAATCATGGCCAAAAAGATTCAGAATGTAAAATATACATAGAAAAATCCTAAAAACTAAGAAAAATTAGATATATCTACAAAGGAAGTATAATCAGACATCAGTCTTATCAGCAACCCCAGATGCAAGGTGATAAATCTAATAACAGAGAATTTTATATCTAGCCAAGTGTTAAAATGTGAGAATGAAAGATATTTTAAGACATATAAAGACTCAGGGTTTACCAAACACATTTGCTTTCTGGAAAAACCACTCTGTGAAGAAAAATTAGAAAGAAGCAACTGAGATACAAGAAGAATGAACAAAATTTAGTAAAATTTGTCAGAAGTTCAGTATTAAACCAATTTTTAAATAATCAAATCAGTTCGAGAAAGAAGCGAAAGCGTGCTCAGCCCTCCGTACGGTGGGAGGAGACGCTGGCTTAGCACTAGACGTCGTGAGACAGCTACAAAAGGAATGGAGGGAGGGGACAAAGACGGCAGGAAAGGTTGACTTCTCATTATCTACACCTGCAGCACCTGGTCTTCCCTGCTGGTCTCCCATCCAAGTACTCACCAGGCCCGACCCTGCTTAGCTCCCGAGATCAGACATCAGGCTTGTTCAGGGTGGCATGGCCATAGACCATGGACCATGGACCCAGGACCTTCTGCGTGTAAAGCAGACGTGCAACCACTACACTATGGAACCACGTCCCAGGCAGGAAAGATTTAACAGAACATAAACCCTGTTAGAAAATGCAAAGTAAAATAGAGGAACAAGTTCAAACAGTAATCACAATGAGAATATATTAAATTTACTATTGATACTTTTAGAGTGTGTTAAAAAAAATTCTAGCTGAAACTGTTTACAGAAGCACCCCGAAAAGAAAATGGTACAGGAAGGTTGGAAATTATAAAAATAAAAACTGAACCATTAACAAAAAGCTCCCCCTAAAAGCTGGCCTAGCAATGTCAGAATCAAAAGGATTCAAGGCAAAAGCATTAAAAGGTACAGAACAATTCATCAAGAAGATAGGAAATTTGTACCTAGTAAGGCAAAAACTAATAGAAGGGGAAATTAAACTTTATACACATTTCAGAGACTCACTGGTCAAGACCAAAAAAATTAAAGCTATAAACGGTTGGAACGGAATGATTTTTCAACGTTTAACCTAATATATATATACTGAAAATAAAATTTGCTCGCTCCCCCCCAAAAATATTCTTTTCAGACACAAATAGAACATGTACAAAATTTGATAATGTGCCGGTGACAGAGACTCAGGCAAATTCCCTCACGCCGCTTCCCTACCAAAAATCAAAATGGAAATTTTAAAATATTTAGAACTGTGATGACAAAGGTACTATATAGCAGACCCAGGGAGTTGTAGACAAAGTAACTTTTAAGAGAAATTGATATTTTTAAAGGTATGTGTCATAAATACAAAGAACAGCAGCCATGAATAATAGGTAATGCTCACTATACCAAGTACTGAAAATACTTTTAACCCAGTAACTGAGAAAAAGAGCAAAATAAATCCAGACAGTATAGAATAAATAAAAGGTAGAAGAAGATTAAAAATAGTCAAAAGAGCAAAATTTGGTTCCTTGAAAAGAATGAAAAAATAAGATTTGGCAAGCACGACTTTTTAGAGAGCTACAATAACATCGGAAAGGGCTATTACAGATATTACGATCTTTATGAGAATCCCAAATTGACCCAAGAAGAATCCAGAAAAGACCAATAACCATAAAACCATAAAAGTTGAAATAGTATTCAAAGATTCTGTGCCCCAAAAGTGAACACTAGGCCCAAGCTGTTTTGTGGGAGAGTTTTATCAAATCTTTAAGAAACATAATTGCCTCATTATGAGAAGTTGGCAGAGAAGATGAGGATAAGCCTCCTGATGTAATACCGTAATTGTATAAAGTCAGCCTCGGCCTGATCCCAGGCCGGACTAGGCCAGCACCAAAACAAAAAACTGTAGTTCAGGATCCCTTATAAATACAGAAGTATATCAAATAGTCATTTACCCTCAAAATACAATGATAATTCAACATTGGAAAAAAACAATTCCTTGAATTATCTGCCTACAGTAGATTAAAGAACAAAAACCACCCATGTAATCAAATCAATATATGCCCCCAAAAGCCTTCAGTGACATGTAGCACCCATTTATGATGTAAATCTAAGTACTATTATAAATAGAATTTCTTTAACATGATAAAGGTTAAGTAATCCTACTTAATAGTGAAATACGAGAAGTATTTTCATCAGGGTCAGAAATAAGAGATGGATGCCTGCTATGCTCCAACCTCTCAGCTTTATTCTGAAGGTTCTCAGTAATGCAATAAGATCGCCCACATCTATAGATGAATTATATGCAAATCAATATGATGAAATACACTAGCAGCAGGTAAAAGGAATGATAGAGCTCAAAAACATTTAAAATCAAAATTGCAAAATACTTTCAATATATATGTAAATTTATAGTAAATATTTTTCTAAGCATTCCATATGTATGTGGTCACATTTTAAAAGAAAAAGGATGCCTTTTAAACTTCCAACAGAGGTTATATCTGAAGATTAGTTAGGGTGAGGAAAGAAACCTTTGACAATTTTATTAGTGATCTCTCACTAACATTTCAAAAAGACATGTACATATGTAGTTAAAAATTAAAAATTTAAATTCATAGAACATCTATATTAAGAGCTGTGTAGCTATAAAAATGGTTGTTGGAATTGCATTTAATAATTATAGCGATAGCTGCTCATAGCTGGGAAAAAAATGCTGGGATATTGACAAAGAATAAAACGAAGACCCGAATGTGGAGGTAGAAGATTCTCTGCTCTGCAGAGAGAAGGCCAGCAGGGAGGGATGGGAAAGTAGCTCCAAGAGGGGCTCAGACGACAACCATGAGTCCCCAGGCTTTCCATGTGTCCCTTCGCACCTACCCTGTGCCTGCTCAGCTTAGTTGTCCCGTCTTTTTGCAGGAGCAGATCAGGCATCTGCGACCGCCAGGAACCACATTCAGCTGGTGAAATCGCAAGTGCAGGAGGTGCGCCAGCTGTCCCAGAAAGCAGAGACCAAGCTGGCGGAGGTGCAGACAGAAGAGCTCCGTCAGAAAACACAGGAGGAAGACGGGAGGGCCAAGTCAGAGGAGGCCTACCTGCGTGAGGATTAAGGGCCTGAGCCACTGCCCATGCCTGCCGCTCAGCCTGGGCTTGGCACAGCTTTCTCTGCCAGGAGAAGGGGAGGCCGGCCCTGCCCTGGCCCAACCAGGCCACAGGCGTTACTCCTCCCTTTGCTGGACCTGATTCTCCTCCGGGGCACGCCCTTTTTAACTCCTCCCAGTACAGTTGCCTCACCTACAACCTTTTCACCTCCCACGCAGGGCAGCCTGGCCAGAGGGGTCCCTTTTTTGTCATGCCCACAAGTTCAGTAGCTGTTTTAACTTCAGTTTCCAATCTTATTGACCTTTCAAATAGGATTTAGTATTTGCTCTCTCCATAGGGATGTGAGTTTTGGGGAGAGAGGGGAGCCTGTCCTGTTTGTAAGATTTCTTTGTGTTTCTAATACCTTCTGTGACCTGGCCCCACTGCCCTGTAAGCAGAGCTCAGGCCAAGGAGCCAAATCCATTATTCTAAGGGACTGAATCCACAGCGTTTCCTGCTTCTCTCAGCAGGACTTAATCCCACACGCACGGCTCGCGTCCTTTCCAGTTTCTCTATTGTATCTGAATGAGAATAATTTTTTTGAATTTAAAAAAAAAATGTGTGTCTCCTGGGGGCCCGTGCAGCCTCCCACCTTCATTCACTCCCTCCCCCCCAGACTGGCAGAGCCCCAAGGGGCTCCAGTAGTCCCCCCGGGGGTTCTGGCAGCTGTGCTTTGGCCCCATTCAACACATGCTGGTACAAGTTAGCCAGGTTTCAGTGTTTTTAATCAAAGTTAGAAAAGTTTGGGAGGGGGCTACAAAAACCCAGCCAGCATTTCCACCATGGGTTGAGTTTCAAGGTCCTCCGTTTCTCATAAAGTCAGGAAAGGTTGCACTTAGCCCACCCGCCCAGCACCCTGCCGGAGCTGAGACAAGGGGACAGCTGCACACTTGAGCCCCTCATCTGTTGCCAGTGCCCACATGGTCCACATCTCCAGGGGACTGAGGTGGTGCACCAGGAGGAGCCCTCTGAAGAGACGGGTCCAGGTGGTGTAAGGGCCGCTGTATTCCCAATGTCTTCAAGCCAGCATGGTGCGTGGGACTCAGCCCCAGCTTCCTCAGGCACATACCCACGAAGACGTCATCAATGGGGAAGAGCTCGGCCTCTTCCATGACTGCCCGGAGGTGCTGCATGGCGGCTCTAGACACGACATACCCCCCACCCCCAACATAGGGCGGGTAGTGGCGGGCCCTGTACATGGAGAGGGGGATGAAGTATTTGACCTTGGTGTTCCTGTTAGGCAGAGCCTGGCGGATGACGTCTCCCACCAGGAGGTCCTGCGCTGGGTCCAGGTCTTCCAGGAACGCCAGCACATTGGAGACATGGACAAAGACATCGTCATCTCCTTTTAGCATGAAGCGGGCCTGGGGACAGGCAGCTGCCACCCAGCGCTGCAGGTGCAGCTCCTTGAGCGTCAGATTGAAGAAGTCCTCAGCGAAGTCCCACTGTAGGATGTCATCAAACTCTTGACTCTCATAGGCCAGCAGCTGGGTGGGGGTTGCAGGCCTTGCCACCCCTAGGAGAAACACCAGCTTCAGCTGCCGGCCACTAGCCTGGCCCCTAGCCCGGCCCCATGTGCTGCGGATGGCTGCACGCTGCTTCATGTGGCCAGGCTGCGACTTGATGGCCAGGAGCAGGAAGATGTCCCCGGCACAGCCTGACGGCTCTAGCAAGATGGGGAAGTTGCGGCAGTGGCGATAGGTCAGGAAGAGGCGGTGACGGCTAGGCAGGGACAGGGAAGCATTAGCCACTACGTGGTTGGGTGGACACTGGTTGCGGCGGGGCCCTGGGGGTGCCCAGAAGGGCTGACGGGCCATGGGGCCCCCTGCCAGTTTGGCCTCCGTCCTCTGGAAGAGCAGGCAGCTGAGCAGCAGCCCAGCCAGGCAGTACAGGACCAGCCCGTGGGACATGGCAGCACCTGGAAAGAGCCTTGTGAGCAGGCCATGCCCCACCGCCGGCCGCCACCTCCCTGACCCCAGGAGCAGCAGTCACCCACACTCAGCAGCTAAGTCCCTGGTGGCCTTGGCGTTTGTATCTATTCTTTTCCGGCTCCTCCCAGAGGAGAGACTGAGCACACCTGCTGTGCCAGCCCTCGCCTGCCTTCTGCTGTCATCGGAAGGCTCTTGGGTCAACATTTTCCTTAGAAGAACTTGCAGCCACTTTACAACTGAGGTGCCATGAGCATTGTCAGCATTTCCCAGGAAACTCAAGTACCTTATGAGCTTCAGTGAAAATGGCACAGAACTAGTTTCGCTTCGGGATAAATTCCTTCTAAGTACCAAATGTGACATTCAAGACTCTTAAGCCATTTCCAAAAAAAGAGTCTGGTCTGTTGGTGGCAGGCCCTATGTTGGGTGGCTCAGATGATCGATCACCCACTAGCAGCAGATGGTGGTGGCCACCACAGAATCACCCTTTGCAGCTGCCCGAAGTGGCCTGGGTTTCCTGGGGGTCAGACGGCTTTAGAGAAGCATCGTGGGCACAGCAAGAGCGTGAAGGCAGGTGGAGCGGGAGATACAGCGGGGCCGGTTCCTGTGGCCACTCTCTCCTGTCCCTGCCACTCAGGGCTCAGGTTTTCTCCGTCGCCCAGCAAGCCAGAGAGAAGGTGGGGAAACGCTGCCCCGCACAGTGACCTGCCCCGAGGCCCAGGGGAGCAAAGCCAGGCTGCAGCCCCTCCTCTTTGCCTCCGCTGCCTGTCACCTGTCCCACAGGCCTTCACTTCTACCGCGTCTACACGCCTTAGCCTCATCCTGTCCTCTCCGCCGCCGTCACCACGAAAGCATCTCTTTTAGCGCTAGGAATGTGACAGGCGAGACAGGCAAGGTCACAGCCCTCACCAAGAAGCAGCAGACCGAAGCAACCCGTGGGAACTTCAGGTGGCGCTGGGAAGAGTGAGCAGTGTAATGGAATCCAGCACGAAATTTAGAAAGCCCTCCTTGACCAAAGGCATTTGAGCAAGAACCGATGGAGTAAGGCGCCAAGAACCTTAAAGATCGGGGCCAGACTGTGCCAGGCAGAGGGTGCAGCGGGAGCAGCGCCGCGGGAGTCCATGGGCAGGAAGGAAATGGAAGGGAGGCGTCCATGTCAGGGCCGCGGGCGGCGGCTGGAGGGAGGGCTGGGCTGTTACCGCGGGGCCGGGAGATCCACGGGGCCGGGGCATCCACGGGGCCGGGGCAGAAGCGGCAAAAGAACGCGCGCTGCTGGGAAGGTCACAGCTGCTGCTGCTGCTGCTCAGGTAATGGATGGTGGAAGAGTGAGAAGAACAGAACAGCTGAAAGCTTGCAGGTCAGGGCCCGAGACGCAGCTGAGCCCAGGGTGCTGGCCGCGGGGCGCTGAGCTGGCTGGGTTTCAGGTGGGAAGAAAGGCGGGCTGAGGGTGCGTGGCGGTGCCAATCACCTCGGAGGCCGCAAAGCAAGCGCTGTGATTTGGGCGCGTGCATTTTTGCGGCCTGGGCTGGGATGCGCGGGGGGACCTGACTACCCCTCAGCCCACCCCGCTACCCCTGCGCCCTAACCCGCAGCAGCGCTCACTGCCCGAACCAACAGCAACTGCGCCCCGCAGTGCCCGGGGGCCACCCTCTGCTCCCCACCCCACACCCACTGTGAATCTCCCGTCAGCACCTGCTAAGCGGCGGTCTCCCTCCCTCCTGTGGGCCCACCCAGCTGGGTTTGTACCCGGCACCGGCTTCGGCGAGTGCACGACGCCCTCCGAGTGGGGTGCTGAGTCCGAAGGGTCTGCAGTTGTTTCTGGGGTGACAGCTGCTTCGGGTCCTCACAAGGATCGGTGGCCCGACATGCCACGATGAGGGCAAAGGCCAAGGACCGATTCATTCTTTTCAGGCGACAGTCCTTACACGGCTGTTGTGGGGCCGAGGGGTCGCAAAGCACGACCAGGAGCCCCGCGGGGGGCACCCCTTCCGGGCCTGAGCACCAGAGCAGCGCCGCCCCGTCGAGGCGTCCGGAGCGAGCGACCCAAGCTGGCCCTGTCCCCAGTGTCCGGCTCGGCCATTCTGGCCCCAGCGAGGCGAACCGAAGCGGAGAGGAAGCCAGACACCCCTGACCCCGACAGTCCACTGGGGCGGAAGGCCGGCGGGCCGCGGAACAGCGCGGTGACCACCTCGCCGCGGCCAGACCCAGCGCTACCCCGGGCGTGTATGCGTTGTATTTCTACTAATTTGGAGAAATGACAGTCTTAAACCTGACATTACACATCAGGGTTGGAGTTGCTCAGCTCAATCGGTTTGACACGACCCGCCCCTCGTGGACCTACCTGAGCGGTGTCGCCGGTCGGGCACAGGCGGCGGGTTCAGGGGAGCAGCTTGCGGAACCCGCGAGGAGCATCGGCCGCGCGCACCTGCCTGGGCTTCGGGCGGCGCTGAGCCGGTCT